ACCTCCTAATGGTAATTCATGTGCTACCTGCAACACCTCCTTTCTATGACATATCGGTAATACAACTTGATGAACTTCTGCCCATTTCTCATCTGCCTGAATATGTGATTGTCTCCATTTCCTCATCAAATGATTTTTAAGATAGATTTTTAAGATACATTCTGGGATACATTCAGATTCTTCTCCTATGTATGCTTTTTGATTCAACTGTTTCAGTTTTTCATCTTTCTGTTGTAATTCAGTTAATTTCTCTTGAACTAAAAATATCCACTTTGTCCTCCACCTCTTGTTTTTTTCTCAACCACTTGATCAACCATGGTCTCTGATAATGGTATTTCAATTTCCTTATCTTTATTCTTTGAATTTTCCTCCTGCTTCAACTTGTGGCTTTGTGACCTTGTTATCGCACAGTCAGGAAAAATCCCAAGATATACTTCCTGTAATACATCAGTTGCCTGATTTTCCGCTGGCTTTTCAACCACAGTGGGCAGCCCTCCCATCTATGATCCAGCTATATCATTACCAAGTACAAATTGTATTTCTGGAGCTCAGAGTTCCTCAAGTACTCCGACTACCACTTCTCCACTTTTCACTGGACACTCCAACCTCACATAACATAACAGGGCACTTCTCATCTCACGATAAATTCCACATATTACCACTTTTTTCTGGCAATACTCCTTCTAAATTACATATCTCCTCCTCTTTCAACATCAAAGATTGGCATGCTCCTGTATCTCTTATATTGTAATTTCTTTGCCTGCTCCTCCTGGCATGTACAAGTAAAGCTTACCCTTGCAAGTTCTGGTCTCCCTGCTATAGGAAGAATGTTGTGAAGCTTGAAAGGGTTCAGAAAAGATTTACAAGGATGTTTCCAGCGTTGGAGGGTTTGAGCTATAGGGAAAGGTTGAATAGATTAGGGCTATTTTCCCTGGAGCATTGAAGGCTGACGGGTGACCTTATAGAGCTTTATAAAATCATGACGGTCATGGATAGGGTAAATAGACAAGATCTTTTCCCCAGGGTGGGGAGTTCAAAACTTGAGGGCTTAGGTATAAGATGAGGGGGGAGAGATTTAAAAGAGACTTGAGGGGTAACCTTTTCATGCAGAGGGTGGTATGTGTATGGAATGAACTGCCAGAAGAATTGAGGTGGCTAGTACAATTACAACATTTAAAAAGCATCTGGATGTATACATGAATAGGAAGGGTTTAGAGGTCTATGGGCGAAATGCTGGCAAACGGGACTAGATTTATTTAGGATATCTGGTCGGCATGGACGAGTTGGACTAAAGAGGCTGTTGCCATGCTGTATACCTCTATGACTCTAAGATCTGGCACTTTCTTCTCAACCAAACCCAAACCAGGTTGTATATTCTGGTGCAGCTTTTTAGTTTCTACTGTGCTTTCCTTTACCACTTCAACAAAACTCACTGGCTTCTCATCCTTTCCCATATCTGTCTTCCCAGTGCTCTTTTTAAATCACCAACACTGTGACTTCATTTGGCCTACTTTATTGCAGTGAAAACACCTGAGCCTTTTTAGTTCTCACCACCGCCCCCCCCTCATGAGTTTCCTTTTTACCTTGTGGTAAACTATCTTCACTATCTTTAATAAGCTTTTCCCTTACCACCTGAGGATTTCTCCTTTCCCCAGTTTCCCCATGCCTCACAGATTGATATTGATATTGGAAGCCAAACTTTGATTTATGAACCAAGTGATAATCATCAGCCATTTCCACTGCTAATCTTAGAGATAGCAAGATTGAAAGTCCTCAAGCCAATTAAAGAACCAAAGCCATTAAATGGTCAGGATGAGCCAACTAAGCAATAACATTAATGTATTTAAAAGGAAGCTGAACAAGAATATTGGTGATGGAGAAAGGATTTGAAGAATTTGCTGATAGTTTCAAGTGAAGAAAATTAAGAGGAATGTCATATGGATAATACACACTTGAGAAGCTTGATACCATCCTGGATAAAACAGACCACCTGATTGATACCACATCCACAGACATTTATTCACTCCACCACCGACACTCAGTAGCAGCAATGTGTTCTATCTATGATATTCACTACAGAAATTCTTTCTTTTAAGCTGGCAGCTGTGGGAGGAAATCAGCTGGAGAATTGGAACATTCAGGAAACATATGTCACAGGGTTGCTTCATTTAATCCTGCCTAGTAACTAGTATAGGGCTAGTTGTAAGTTTTTCCACAGACTAGACTTTAAACATGAACTCTGCTAGTCTCTCCACAGATGCTTTCAGATCTGCTGAATTTCTCCAGCAATTTCTGTTTTTTATTTGAGACCTCCAGCATCCACAGTGTTTTATTTTTATTTATTACACTAGGCAAGGGATCAATGGAGATGTAGAGGCAGACATTTACGGAGATATTTCAAAATACACAGAGTAAACATAAAGAGTCATTGAGTCATGCAGCACAGAGACAGACCCTTCGTTCTAACCAGTCCATGCTTACCAAGTTTCCCAAACTAAACTGGTCCCACTTGCCTGTGTTTGGCCCATATCCCTCTAGACCTTTCCTATTCATGTACCTATCCAAATGTCTTTTAAATGTCTAACTGTACCTGCATCTACCACTTCCTCTGGCAGTTCATTCCATGTACAAAACATTGTGTCAAAAAGTTGCCCATCAGGTTCCTTTTAAAATCTTTCTCCTTTCAACTTAAAAGTACACCCCTTGGCTTTGAACTCACTCATCCTAGGGAAAAGACCTTTGCTATTTATCTTATCTATGTCTCTCATGATTTTATAAACCTCTTTAAGGTCATCCTTTCTACTAAAAACATCAAAAGGGTATTCCCAACATTCATGATTAACTAAAGATGTATGGAAAAGCATCAAACTTAAGGAAAAAATATTCAGCTATGCTAAGATGAGTGACAGGTCGAGTAATTGTTAGATTATGAAGAATGGCAGAAAAGGACTAAAAGTTTAATTAGGAGGAAGAAATTAGGATTTGAGTGGAAGGTACCTAAAATGTAAAAATGGATAGCAAGAGTTTCTATAGGTATTTAACAAGGAAAGAGTAAACATCTAGACAGTGAAATAAGGGTTAGTGGTAGAAAATAAGGAAATGACATACAAAAGGAACAAATATTTACTTCTGTCTTCATTTAGAAATACAAAAAGAATCAAATATTAGCTGTAATTCAGGAGGTGGAAAGGAGGGAGGAGCGTGGTGAAATTATAATTGTGAGGGAAACAGTACTAAGCAAATTGATGGAGTTGCAGGTCAGCAAATTTCTGGGTCCAAATGGACTTCCCATAAGAATCCAAAAAGGTAACATATGCACAGAGAGAGATGTGATTATAACCCTAAATGAATCATTTGAATCTGTCTTCACAAAAGAACAAATGATACAAATATTGTAGTTAAGGAGAGGAAATGTAGAATTTTAGATATGATAAGTGTAGAGAGAAAGGAAGTTGTAATGGCATTTGCATCCTTGAATGTAAATAAATCACCAGGGGTTGGCTAAAATACACCCGAGGCTGTTAAAAGAAGCGAGGGAGGAATGGACAAATGACTATCAAGTGAACTTCAACACAGACAAATGTGAGATATAATATTTTGGTAGGAAGAATAAGGCATGCATGTATTACTTGGAAGGTACAGTTCCCAATGAAATGAAGGGACAATGTTAAAACCTACATCACAGACCACAAGTAACTAAGGCCATTAAAAAGAGTAAGCTAGGCAATAATGCTAGATAGATAGAATTGAAAAGTAGATCATATCTATGATGAACTTTGATTTAACTACTTTTAGTGCACTGTGTTATGGCCCCATAGAAATGATGCAGATGCACTGGAGAAGTTCAGAGAAGAGTTACAAAATTGATACCACAAATGTGTGGATACATATATCAAAACAGGATTGACATCTGGTTCTATGTTCTCTTGAAGAAAGAAGTCTAAGCGGTGATCTATTAGTGATATTTAACTATTTTATAGGTTTTATAAATAGATACAAAGGGAACTTTTTTAGTGAAGAATAAAACTGCTCACCATCTGTATAAGATAGTCACCAACAGATCCAGCAGAATATTCAGAATAGATTTATATGTCCAAAGATTGGTGAGAATGTGAAACTTGTGACCTCAGGAAATCATTGAAGTGTATAGTTTCGAGATGATCCAGTGAAGCTGTGTTTGCTTCCATCTGCAACTCCTCTTTTAATGAAGTAGTCTCTGCTTGCGTGCTAGAAGAACTGTGTGCATTCAGTTTTGAACTGAAAATTGTTAACACTCTAGTTACACATGAACAATGTAGGTTCTGTCTCAAAGCAAAGACCCATCATATTTACATTCAGTCAAGTGGAAGCAGGAGAATTGCTATTCAAAGACTATCAGTGGATATGGTCTCCTCCTCAGTGCTTTACTCCTTGTATCTCCTGAAATTCTGCTTGTGTTTTCTTTGTTGCTCCCACTGACACTCTATTCCCAAAGACTGTTTTATCAAACCATCCATTATTTTTGGCCAGACTGTTTTTGAATGGAAGTGTAACAACAGAACTATCTAAATCTCTCTCCACATAAACTTGAGGACCAAGAAAAATACTTTGAAATCAAATGATGTCCAGAAATAATAAGTTAGAAACTAACCTGTCTGTGCAGAATGATATCTTAAAACAGTGTAAGTAAAATTAATATTTTCCCTTTATACACTTCTTCATTCACCAAGCCTTTATGTCTGCATACCAGTTAGCACCAAGCTTCAAAGTCAAGCTCTGAAAAATAAAAACACAATTTCTAGATCTGTGTGTGCAAACTTAACGGAATTTTTAACTGTCGTTAATTTCCTCAGTGGGGAGAATAGAATAAGTTTGAGTTATTTTCTTTAAAGAATAGTGTAATTGCAAAAATCAGGCACATTTTTTCAGAATGAGAAATTAATTTGAGTTAGAGTTGACTAATGAAAACAAAGACAATTTTACATAATTAAAAGTTCTCTCATTTATATTTCTGTAATCAGTCTACTCTTCAATTATTTGAGAGTGTGTGCCAAGGAATTCCGTCTGAGTATGTGACACTGATAACACCAAAAATTAATAAGGTGAGCACTGCATTGTGTAAGTAAAATTTATATTTTCCTTTTATACATTCACCAACAATCAAAATATAAGGTATTCATCTTTACTTTCTTTTGTCAAAGTTGATAGGAGATTGAAAGCCCATTTATGCATTAATTTCCCTATCTAGTGATGTCCAATTTACTGCTAGTGATTTTTTAGTATTTTAAGTTGAAGCAATATTTCTTAAAGTGTCAAAATTTATTATGTGCTCATGGATCATCACAAACTCAAGGTGGAGATAGTAATGATGATGAATTACTACTCCAGAGGCCCAGCCTAATGCTTTGGTGGAATAGATTCAAATTCTACCATGGTAGCTCCTGGAATTTAAATCCAATTAATTAATAAATCTGTTATTGAAAGGTTGATGATGACCATCAAACTAACAATTGTCTTAAAAATCCATTTGGTTCAAGCTCATCCAAAACTGTGTTGCCAGTATCCTAAATTGCATCATGTTCCTTTAACTACTTGCACCTGTACTTGCTGGCCAAAATGGCACTTGTTTAAGCAACACCTCAATTTGCAAACTCCCATTCTTCTTGCTAAATTTTACATGATGTAAGCCTTCAACACATAACAGTAGTGTTGTAATGAGGTCAGCCAGGTGGACCTCATAGAATATGAGTTCGATCACTGGGGCTGTTAATTTGGTCCAAACAGGGAGTCGTGGCTGACAGAGTTAAACAGGAGCTCAGAAATCTTGATCACTCTAAGAGCTAGCTTTGAGAGAGCCAGACCAGTGAAAAGTTGTTTTGCCACTTACTCCAGAAATTCGCACGCCACTTATCTTTCGGTTGGGGTAAGCATGTCTGCTAACATGCTGTTATTTGGGAAGCTTGACTCGTTCGAGCTTGCCGTCAAAGACTGGGCCCAGTATGCAGAAAAAATGCATTATTTTTTCTAGGCAAATGGCATTGGGGCAGGTGAAATTCAACGAGTAATTCTCCTGTCAGCTTGTGGATTCACAGCTTTTTCGGTTATTAGGAACCTTACATTCCTGAGGCACCAGATACTAAAGCCTTTCAAGAGTTGATGGATTTAGTTAAGGAATATTACGACCCCAAGTGTCATTTAATTCTGAGATGCTGTCAGTTTTACTGGGCAGTTTGGGAACCGGGGTATCTGTATAGGGATTTTTGATGAGGTTAAGATGACTGGAAGAAGCATGTGACTTTGGTTTAACCCTAATGAGATGATGGGAGACTGTTTGCTATGTGGGATTTATGATGTAACCATGCAGGGAGAAAGCAGGAGAATGGGGTTGAGGAACTTATCAGTCATGATTGAATGGCAGAGCAGACTCGATGGGCAGAATGGCCTAATTTCTGCACCTATGTCTTATGGTCTTATCTTTTTAACTTTATTTCCATTTTTCTTACTTATATTCTGAACAATTGTAAGTAATGTAAATTTTTTCCCTTTATTTCTGTATTTTGTACCTAAGATGGTGCCATATGGGACAACATAGTAATCTTTTCATCATAGACCTGTACTTCTGTACTTGAGTACACATGACAATAAAGGATATTCTAATTCTAATTATTGGAGATGGTCACTGACTAGCATTTGTGTTGAGTGAATGTTACTTGCCACTTGTCAGCCCAAGTCTGGATATTGTCCAGGCTTTATTGCAATTGAACATGGATGTCTTCAGTATCTCTGGAATTGTGAATGGTACTAAGCATTGTGCAGTCATCAGCAAACAACCCCACTTCTGACCTTATGATGGAAGGAGCAGCAGCTGAAGTTGGTCAAGCCTAGGACACTACCCTAAGGGACTTATGCAGAGATATCCTGGAGCTGTGATAACTGACCTCCAACAACCACAACCATCATCCCATGTGCCAGGTATGACTCCAACTTCCCACTGATTACAGTTTTGCTCGGGGTCCTTGATGCCACGCTCAGTCAAATGCGGCCTTGATGTTAAGGGCTGTCACTTTCACCTCACCCCTGGAATTCAGTCCTTTTGTCCATATTTGAACCAAGGCTGTAATGACATCAGGAGCTGAGAGGCCCTCACTGAACTGAGCATCAGTGAGCAGGTTGTTGCTCATCAAGTGCTGTTTGATACCTCTGTTGATGACACCTTTGATCACTTTACTGATGATCTTGAGTAGACTGAAAGACTAGTAATTGGCCGGGTTTGATTTGTGCACAGGATTTATCTGAGCAATTTTCCACATTAGCAGGTAGATGCCAGTCTGATAGCTGTGTTCGAATAGTTTGGCTAGGAGTATAGCAATTTCTGGAGTTCTCATGCAACCTCTTACCATGTGATCTCCTACTGCAGCAATGTCTTGGGGATGACTTGGTTGGCCTCCCACAATCACAACTATCTTTTACTGTGCTACATATGAGTTCAATAAGTGGTGTGTTTGCTGTCTTCATATTATTGACTATTGGGCTACTTGTTGCTGCACTCGTTCAAATGTTGCTGCATTGTCCCTGCCATCACACCTCATTAGTTCACTGGTGAATTTGATTACTATACCATGTAGTAATCTGTGGAATTATTTAAATTTAAAATTTAATATTGGAAGTTATGAAAAAGGCAAGAAAGATTTTCAGACCTCCAATACCTCAGATACAATGGATTAATTTGAAGTGAAGTTAAAGAAAACAGAAAGCTAAAAATATTTTTGAAGTGCTAATCAGTACTTGAACCTACAACTTGGTGACCCAAACAGAAAAAAGCTGTCAAAAATGATCACAGGTAAATACACATTGTTGTTCACATTAACCCTAATATCACTGATGAATACTTAACTTGCTACTTCTAATAAATCTAATAACTATGGCTGGAAGTTTCCCATCTTCAGACTGATTGAAAATGAGAGAGTTTCCATGAGGGAAACCCAAGGCCTTTGGACGTAAGAAAGCCTGCTGGACTTTCCAGTATACAGCCAAGTAATTAGTTGGTGTCAGGCTTTCTGCCAGAATTATGACCCCAGAATGGGAAGACTCACCAGCCTGGAGCTGCTGTCAATCAGAGGCTGGCAGCTTCAGAATTCGGCAGCACCTTGTCAAAAAGTATTGGCTACGTACATGAAGAAGTGCTGCTGAGAATGATAGGCAGTTTTTGGAGGGATGGGAGGTTTCTGGGAGTGGAGTTCATCCTGAGGAAATAGGTTGGGGTGTCAGAAGTAAGGATAGGGACGAAGCTGTTCACACCCGTGCGCCAGCCTTCAGTCTTACACAAATTAGCGCAGATTGAGAGGTCACTCCCTTCCAAACTGACAGTTGACCAATCAAGTAGGCTGACTGTTTCTCATTTCACTTGGAGTTGAAGTAATTGCAACACTGGTGGGAAAATGTCCTGAAACAGTACTTAATTTATCGTTTAAGGTCTTCAGTTGATAACAAGATGAGAAAGTCAAGCTTGGGCCTTGTCACCCGGAATCTAATTTCTGTCATGGCAGGAAGGTGACAAATATCTCCCCACTGCCAGCATACTTGATTATCTACCCCTTCCGTCATCATCTCCACTGCTTTTTCAAGAGGGGTTGATTACACTTTGACTGTATGTGAATATTGTCTAACAATAAAGAGATGGAGAAAAGCCAAATCTCGTATCAAGGATGGAAGTTTTTATAACAATTACAGTTTTGTGCTCATGATTCATTTTCTTTTCTTTTAGATTGAATCTGTTCTGAGACAGGGAGCTGCCTCACTGAATTGGTCATCAATAATACTTGACCAATTCTTCTCTGATGTGAATTCAGCCATAGAAGAGTTGACTTCATTGCTCAAGACAGTAAGTAGATTTCCTAAAACGGTTTCTTATTAAAGTGAAAATAGTAGCAGTGGGAAAAAGAGCATCTCGTTTGTATTTTGGATTAAGAGATGACAGGTTTCCTGCAGATATTGCAGGAGTTGGAAGTAAATATTTATGTTATGTGACTATGTGAAAAGGTAGGAAGATAGGGAAAGGATTAGACATATTCTGGATGAGAAAGTTCTGAAGAAGGGTCTAGGCCCAAAACGTCAGCCTTCCTGCTCCTCTGATGCTGCTTGGCCTGCTGTGTTCATCCAGCTGTACACCTTGTTATCTGAGAAAGTTGCAATATGGTTTTATCAAAGAAAGAGATCAACAGTTTAACATGTGTGCTTGTAAGCCAGCTACTGTTTATAGAAATTAAAAACCTGACTTTGGTGAAGTCAGGCAAAGCTTTCAATGATGTAATTTACGGGACTTGTGGAGCATAATTACAGAGTTTGAAAAATCTTTAGGGTTTCTGTATTAATTGCTGCCTACCAACCCTTTCTGGACATATTTTTAATTTTACACACCTAAGAGTCAATAGGAAGACACCCCAAACTGTGATATTGCCACTCCTGGAATTCTTTTCTCAGTAGATGTTCCTGGATACTGTTACGAAGGGGACGGTCAACACCTCCCTGATAATTAAAACCGAAATATCCTGAGAAGGTCTCCTCGCCTCAAAATCTTTTAAAGGAAGTGTGAAAAGTTGTACAATCTACCTCTCACCCCCAATTATTATAAAGAAGTGGTTACTCACTTCATAAGCAACAAGTAACAATTTATTTATCTAACTCTAACAGTGAACAAATTAACAGAAATACTAACAAACTGAAAAACTCCCCCCTTAACTACAAACTATTCCCGAATAAAACAAAATTCTGATGGTATGCTGTTCCAATAAAGACAAGTCCCACTTATATGAACCAAAGAAATAGAAAAAATAAATTTAAACTTATTCTCTCAAAATTATAGCCAGGATAAGTCTTTCAAAATGTTCTTTGTCCTCTCTGTTGTTTTCTATTCAGGAATGCCTTTCTCCATCAAATTCTTGTGTCAGGAATATAAGCTAAGAGTGCCATAGTACCTTTATTTAGATGGTGCTTAGTCTGAGAGCTTTGAGATTTCTGTGAGAGCCAGTGAGCTTCTCTTCAGATGGCAGTTTGCTTCACACCAATTTTCAAATGCCCTCTTCATTTATACCTTCGATGACCTATTAATTTCTTACAATAGAATTGGTCCAAGGTTGTCAAAACCATCAGATTTAAATTTAAAATTGGGTTTTGGTATCGAGGGCCTGGTTTAAAGTAATTGGCTAAATTCAAAATCTGTTGCCTCAGTAAAATGCTGCTTTACCTGCTAACAGTACAGCCTTTTGATACAATGTTTCAATTTCAAGAACTCTCCGTGCATCTGCTGCTGCCTGTAGACATTCTTTTTGAATATCCAAACCTAAAAAACACATTAATTTTATAGGGACCATGCACTCATCCTCCCATCATTTTACAAACAAATTCTAAGGTCCTGCCTTCCAATCCACAAGTACTATACCCAATTTCGCAATAGTACCTAATAATTTTCCAAATACTAGTATTCCTGACTACACTGTAAATCTAAAAATCTGGACTGCAGCAAATTTTCAAAGACATGGATCCAGATTGATTGCAACCATAACAGAGGTCCCTTCATGAGTCTATGGTCAGCAATTTGATTTTGTTGACAGAACACTCTGTGGATCATAAGAAGTTATCACATTCTAACGTTTGCTTCCAGCTATTGGCCAACAGGAGTTGTTTTCCACTTATGCTGTTTTAAAAATATGTAATCTCTATATGCGATTGTATCTATGTTGGGATTAAAGGGAAAAGAATTAATTCAGGATTATAGCTAAGATGCTAACCAATATTTGCCACTTGTTGTAAGAAGTTTTATTTCCAAAAAACAGATTATTTTCAAAGAATCCTGGTGAAAGTCCCTTTTATTATGGATAGTGATACAAAACAAAAACAATTGAATCAAGACATTTATACTAATAATGACAGTGGTGGATTAGAGTGGCACGTTACCAACCCATACATCCTCTCATGGTCAGAACACATGCATCAGATGAATTTCAGCCTGTAACTTCTATGTATTTTCACAGCAATCAGTTCTTATTTGCTCACCTTCCATATGCAAATAAGATATCAAGTTGCCTGACTTTGGAGGTCTGTGCTAAATACAGAGCAACAAATGACCTGTTTGGATTTTCTCACTTCTTATGTTGAACAGAGAAACCGAGGGGTTCAGGTACATAGTTCTTTGAAAATTATGTAGCAGGTAGACTGGGTGGTTAAGAAGGCATTTAGCACAATTGCCTTCATTGAGTATAGAATTATAGAGTTGCCGACCAGATATCCTCAATTAATCTAGTCCCATTTGCCTGCATTTGGCCCATATTCCTCTAAACTCTTCCTATTCATGTACCCATCCAGATGCCCTCTGCATGAAAAAGTTGCCCCTTAGGTTCCTTTTAAATCTTCCCTTTCTCACATTAAACCTATGCACTCCAGTTTTGGACTCCACCCTCGGAAAAAGACCTTGGCTATTCACCCTATCCGTACCCCTCATGATTTTACAAATCTCTATATATCACTCCTCAGCCTCTGTTTCAGGGAAAATAACCCTAGCCTATTCAGCCTCTTCCTATAGCTCAAACCCTCCAAACCTGTCAACCTACTTGTAAATCTTTTCTGAACCGTTTCAAGCTTAACAACATTTTTCCTATAGCAGGGAGAACTCAATTGATTGCAGTATTCCAAAAGTGGCCTAACCAATGTCCTGTACAGCCGCAACATGACCTCCCAACTCCTATACTCAGTGGACTGACCAATAAAGGCAAGCATGCCAAACACCTTCTTCACTACACTGTTCAGCCCATTGAGTGTAGGAACTCGACCATCATGTTGAGGTTGCACAGGACGTTGGTGAGGCCACTTCTGGAGAACTGTGTACAGTTCTCATCTCCCTACTATAGTAAGGTTATTATTAAATTGGACAGAGTTCAGAAAAGATTTACCAGAATGTTGCCGGGACTGGAGGGTTTGAGTTATAAGGAGAGGCTGGGACATTTTTCACTGGAACTTAGGAGGTTGAGTGGTGATAAGATGAACAGCAAAGGTCTTTTCCCTAGGATGGGGATTTCAAAACAAGGAGGTTTATCTTTATGGTTAGAGGAGAAAGATTTAATGGGGACCTGAGGGGCAATGTTTTCACACAGAATAGGGTTCATATGTGGAATGAACTCTCAGAGGAAGTGGTAGTTGCAGGTACAGTTATGTCATTTAAAAGACATTTGGATAGGTAGAGGGATATTGACCGAACGCAGGCAAGTGGGACTAGTTTAGTTTGGGAAATTTGGTCGGCATGGACCGAAGGGTCTGTTCCCATGCTGTATGACTCTGTGACTCGATGACTCTAGGTCATACCCAGGCACCTTTCCGCATTTCCGGGTAGATGCCAGTGTTAAAGCATATTGGAACAACTTGGCTTGGGATATGGATAATTCTGGAGCACAAATCTTCAATATTATTGCCCTTGCAGCACCCCATTTCTTCAGATGCTCTTAATATCATATGGAGTGAGTGGTATGGTTGAAAACAGGCATTTATGATGCTGGAGATGTCAGGAGAAGGCCAAGATGGATCATCCTCGCAGTACTTCTGACTGAAGATAGATGCCAAAAGCTTCAGTCTTATCTTTTGCAATGATGTGCTGGCTTCCTGTTGTTGTGTTGGAGTTTCCACCTCCTGTTAGGTGTTTAATTGTCCACCATCATTCAAGCCCGGTCGTGACAAGTCTGCAGGCCTCAGATCTGATTTGTTGGTCAAGACATTACTTAGCCCTGTTTATCATCTGCTGCCCAAAGTGTTTGGCATTCATGTAGTCCAATGTTGTAGCTTCATCAGGTTGACACTTCATTTTCAGGTATGATTGGTCTGCTGCTGAAGCCCTCCTGCACACTTCTTTGAACCAGCATTGATCTCCAAGTTTGATGGTAGCCATGATGTGGAGGTGCCAGTGTTGGACTAGGGTGGACAAGGGGAGAAGTCAGATGACACCAGGTTATAGTCCAACAGGTTAATTTGAAATCACAAGCTTTTGAAGCATTGCCCCTTCATCAGGCAAAGTCAGAGAGAGGCACACAGCTTTTTCTCTCTGCCTCATTTAATCAGATTATAGGTCATCCCTTTGTTTGTTGTCAAGCTGTTGACACTTTACTCACACTGTCTGACATTCTTGATAAACTGCAGAGACCTATTATTTGGCCTGTCGATACTCCACTCAGACCATTTGTATAATCTTTCGATCTCTCTGCCTATTGATCCCTCTGCCTATAAATTCTTGGTCTGTGTGCTACGGGGTACACTTCAGCGGTCAAGGACATTCGGTCTCCAATCTTCGGGTAAGCGTCCTCCAAGGCAGTCTTCGAAATACTCAACAACGCAGAATCGCTGAGCAGAAACTGACAACCAAGTTCTGTAACCATGAAGATGGCCTTAACGGTGATCTTGGGTTCATGTCACTCTACATTTTACCACACTAACTTCTGTATCTGTAAAATCTTCCTTACTGTCCTGTTTTGACACCATCTCCTTGACAAATTGTTATGATCTGTCTACCTTAATTAGTTTGTACAGTTTTGGATTACTTATTACTTTGGGTGGACCTTGAGCATGCAACTCTTATACCTATTATGTTATTCCAGTCATTTAGTTTATCTCCAGCGCCACCTTATTTTTACTTTGTAATTATTTCCCTGCCTCATTTAATCAGATTATAGATCATCCCTTTGCTTGGTTTTCAGCTGATGACACTTTACTCACACCGTATGACACCCTTGATCGCCTGCAGAGACCTATTATTCTGCCTGTCGACACTCTACTTACACCATTTGTTTACTGTTTTGATCTCTCTGCCCGTTGATCTCTCAGCCTATAAATACTGAGCCTGTG